GCATCACTGCCTCCAACTGTAGAGCCACAGCAGAGCCATCAATGACCTTGTCTCCCACAAATTCATCGGATCCTGAGAAAGCAGAGAGATGGGGTTCCTGCAGAGCTCTGGATGTTTTGGGAGCCCAAGTCCCAGCAGCCAGCTTGGCCAACGTCCAGTAAGATGGAGAGTTATAGACCATCAACATTGGGGGCGGGTCAAAGGTTCCCCATCCCTGACATAGGGGATGGAGATAGTGGCAGACCTACATTTTTGGGGTACCCTGAAGCTTGAATGGTCATGGGAACCTCCATGCAGCCAACAACAAAGTCTAGGTGACAACTGTTATCCTCTTTGGTGGGTTTGCTCCACAACACATTGCCACTTTTTTATTTAAAAAAATAATAATTAGCTACCACATCTCAGATTTTGATTAAAATTGTTGTACTGGATTATCTCACATGCCAAAACCACTGGAGACAATAAAAATTCCCTCTGCCTTGTAGTTTTTGAGGTTTGCTCAGTTGGTAGAGAAGGAGAACTCAAGGGTTTGAGCAAAATATTCCTGCATTGCTGAAAGTTGGATTAGATGGCCCTCGTGGTCCCTTCCATGCTTCTATGGGGGTGTAATTTAGGGAAATGTCATATAATAATAATAATAATAATAATTTATTATTTGTACCCCGCCCATCTGGCTGGGTTTCCCCAGCCACTCTGGGCGGCTTCCATAGAAACCAAAGATACAGTAAAATATCACAGATTAAAAACTTCCCTGAAGAGGGCTGCCTTAAGATGTCTTCTGAATGTCAGGTAGTTATTTATCACTTTGACATCTGATGGGAGGGCGTTCCACAGGGCGGGCGCCACTACCGAGAAGGCCCTCTGCCTGGTTCCCTCTAGCTTTGCTTCTCGCAATGAGGGAACTGCCAGAAGGCCCTCGGCGCTGGACCTCAGTGTCCGGGCGGAACGATGGGGGTGGAGACGCTCCTTCAGGTATACTGGACCGAGGCCGTTTAGGGCTTTAAAGGTCAACACCAGCACTTTGAATTGTGCTCAGAAACGTACTGGGAGCCAAGGTAGGTCTTTCAAGACCGGTGTTATGTGGTCTCGGCGGCCGCCCCCAGTCACCAGTCTGGCTGCCGCATTCTGGATTAGTTGTAGTTTCCGAGTCACCTTCAAAGGTAGCCCCACGTAGAGCGCATGTGCATGATGCATGATATATGTGCATGATGCATTTTTTAAAAGCGATTTTTTAAAGCAGTGTGGGGCCCTCAAGCTTAAGCTTCTTTAGTTTCATAGAAGGTTTGTCCCTGGATGAAGAAGACTCTATGTTTCCTCTTCAGTAGGATCCCCTCAGGGCCCCTAATGAGGTCACAGAATCAAACAATTGCGTTCCCCACGCAGCTTGAGACATCATCATCATCATACAGTGGTGCCTTGGTTCTCAAACACTGAAAACCCGGAAGTAAGTCTTCCAGTTTTCGAGTGTTTTTCGGAAGCTGAACATCCGATGCGGCCGTCGGCTATTGTTTTCGAGGCACCTGCGCCAACCAGAAGCTGCACCTTGGTTTTCGAACATTTTGGAAGTCAAACAGACTTCCAGAACGGATTAAGTTTGGCGCTTTTGTTTTTGCTATTTATTTTGCGTTTTTGTTTTTGAGGCTTTTTCAGTTAAATTGTTTTTGCGACTGTGCAGAGCCCAGTACAGCTACTGACTGACTGATTGATTGTGTGACTGCGGAAATGGGTAAAAGCCCCCATCCAAACAATGACTAACATCAGTGCAGGTAAGATTTTTTTATATATATCATCTACAATACTGTCTTATTTATTTTACAGTACAGTACATTGATTATTGCTTTCATTTTATGGATCAATGGTCTCATTCGAGAGTAAAATTCATGTCAAATTGCTGTTTTAGGGGTTGTTTTTAAAAGCCTGGAACGGATTAATCCGTTTTGCATTACTTTCTATGGGAAAGCGTGCCTTGGTTTTGGAACGCTTTGGTTTTGGAACAGACTTCCGGAACCAAGGGACCACTGTAATAATGTTGAGAACCCCAACCAGTGGCTGTCTAGCCCCCCACCTGAAGACCTCTTCATGAGCAAGAGACCACCCACTCCATTGGGTCACCGGATCCATCATCAAACTCCTCCTGCCAAAGTCGTTCCTCCCCGTGGCCAGCCAAAACCGCCATTGAGTCATTCCTTCCAAGCACGCAACCAAAATCTACCCTCCTGACTCTTGAGCCCATTAGACATTCTCGTGTGCAACAGAGAACAACAGGAGACGTTCTCCTTCCACCAAACGGCATGTTCCAATCGTCCCTCCGCATACAATGCCAGCTAAATAATTCTGTGTTTCCTCCCAGGAGGGAAGGAGAAGGATGTTCAGTTCAGTGGCAAGGCACCTGTTTGCTTTGTGGGTCCAACTCTCAACATCACCAGGCAGGCCTCCCTTTGAAACCCCACAGAGATGCTGCTGGCCAAGATAGATGGACCAAGCAGCTCCCAATGTTTTGAGGGTTTCTGCTGCATCACGAGGACTGGAAGCTTACATTATTATTAGGGGAAGAACCGCCAGGTTTTTTGCATGTAAAAGGTCCCAGTTTCGATCCCAAGTGTCTCCAGGTAGGGCTGAAATAAGACCCCTGCCCAGGCACCCTGGAGAGCTGCTGCCAGTCATTGTAAAGGGACCCTGACCGTTAGGTCCAGTCGTGACTGACTCTGGGGTTGCGGCGCTCATCTCACTTTACTGGCCGAGGGAGCCGGCGTACAGCTTCCAGGTCATGTGGCCAGCAGGACTAAGCCACTTCTGGTGAACCAGAGCAGCGCACAGAAACACCGTTTACCTTCCTGCCGGATTGGTACCTATTTATCTACTTGCACTTTGACGTGCTTTCAAACTGCTAGGTTGGCAGGAGCAGGGACCGAGCAACTGGAGCTCACCCCGTCGCGGGGATTCGAACCGCCGACCTTCTGATCGGCAAGCCCTAGGCTCTGTGGTTTAGACCACAGCGCCACCCGCATCCCGCCAGTCATTGTAGATAGTACTAAGATGGATGGGCCCACATAGGAACAGAAGAAGGCCCTGCTGGATCAGGCCAATGGCCCCACCTAGACTAATAATAATAATAATAATAATAATAATAATAATAATAATAATAATTTTTATTTATACCCCGCCCTCCCCAGCCAAGGCCGGGCTCAGGGCGGCTAACAAGCAATAATAAAAACAACTTAAAAACAACATTAAAATACAACATTAAAATATTGAAACATTAAAATATTAAAATGTAGCCTCATCGCAGGAGGAGAAGGAAAAGAAAAAAGAAAGAGGGGGAGGGAATCAAATTGGCTCCAAGGCCAGGCAGAACAACTCTGTCTTACAGGCCCTGCGGAAAGAAATCAGATCCCACAGGGTCCTGGTCTCATGAGGCAGAGCATTTCACCAGGCTGGAGCCAGAGCTGAAAAGGCCCTGGCTCTGGTTGAAGCTAATCTAACTTCCTTAGGGCCCGGGACCTCTAGGGTGTTGCTGTTTATGGACCTTGAGGCTCTCAAGACTAGTATCCTGTTCTCACAATGGCCAGTGCAAAACCCACAAGATTTGACCACAAGACCTCGCTCCTTTCCTGTGGTTTCCGGAAGCCCTTCCAGTCCGACTTAAGCCCGCCGCAAAGCGCGTCACGCAAAAATTGGCCACAGGCAGGCGCAAGGCCACGCGCCTCTTGAAAGTAACACACAAACCAACAAGGCGATTCAGTCTCGCCCCTGGAAAGTTTGGGGCGGGGAACCTGCCACTTTGAAGAGGTTGCTGCTGGTCTCCGATTCTTCCCAGCCCCCCAGCCTCCCCATGGGATAGTCAAGGGTCAGGGATGATTCCAACCGTGCTTGGAGGGTCCACCTGAGATAAGGGCCAGTTTAGGCCCACAGGCGTTCAACTATCTGCAACAAAACATTGCCGTTTCCGTACATCGCGAGGCAGCAACAGGCCAGGAGTCGCCACTGACTGTGCTGTCCACACGTAACCCAATCCCATCCCAATGCCTTTGGGTGGGTTGTTTTTAAGCACATATAACACACACACAGCCCACCCCTCTCTCACACACACTATGGGTTTACATCTGCCAGTGTCCCATGAAATGTTAAAGGCATCCAAGACCTTCCGTCTGGAAGTTTAAACGCTGAGGAGCAATTGCAGGCAGCTTTTAGGGTCTAGCCTCAGAGATAGCGGTCAAGAGCCATTTTGGTTAGCATAGCATGCATATAGATGATAGATAGATAGATGATAGATTAGATAGATAGATAGATAGATAGATAGATAGATAGATAGATATAGATATAGAGATGATAGATAGATAGATAGATAGATAGATAGATAGATAGATAGATAGATAGATAGATGATAGATAGATATAGATAGATAGATAAGATAGATAGATAGATAGATAGATGATAGATAGATAGATAGATAGATGATGATAGATAGATAGATAGATAGATAGATAGATAGATGATAGATAGATAGATAGATGATAGATAGATAGATAATAGATAGATAGATAGATGATAGATAGATAGATAGATAGATAGATAGATAGATAGATGGAATAGAGCAGATGGAATAAAACACAACTATATAAGGGGTTTATAGAGCAGCAGCAATAAAAATGGGGGGGGGGGGAGAGAAACAGGCTTGATGTGGAGAGCTAAGGGTGAGACGACGAGCAAGACGCTTCCCGCCCCCGCTTCACCCGCCGCCCAGCTTTTTATTTTAAGGGAGGGAGGAAAATATTGCATGCAGGGTGGGAGAAAGTGATCGGATGGATTAAAATGACAGGATGGAGAATGTAGTTGGGGGGGGGATGGATAGATTGGTATAAAGGGAAGAAAGGGTTGAGGAGGATGGATTAGGCGGGGGGGGGAGTAGGGTGCGCGAGGGAAAGGAGCGGAGAGGAAAGGCGAGCGGGGAACAGAAGGAGAGAGAGAGAAAAGGATGGATTGAAAACACAAGGGCGCACCTTTGTGCATGCCAGTGTACCGGTCCTTCAGCACCGTCAGCTCGTAGATCTGCCCGAACTGCTCGAAGAGGGGCTTGAGGTCCTTCTCCTCGAGGTTCCGGGGGATCTGCCCCACAAAGAGCTTGATAGCATCTAGGTCCTTCATGCCCTCGGGCTCAGAGATGCTGCCGCCGCTGCCGCCGCCGCTGCTCATGGGGGAGGCGCGGGGCGGTTGCTGGGATTGCGCCTTCCGCCTGGGCTCGCTCGCCGGCAGTCTGGCCATCCCCCGAGCCCCCAGCGCGGGCTGCGCAGTGGAGGATGCTGCGAGAAGGAAGGAGGCGGCGGCGGCGGCGCGCAAGATGCCACTGGAGGGGGAGAAGGATGCTGGCGAGCGCAGCATCAGGACCACAAAAAGCAGCTGCTGGGCAGCGACACCGCCTGGCCGTTCCGGGGAAGTGCACGGGGGGTTTCGGGGAGCGTAAAAGCGGGGTGCTATTGGGAGCGGGATTGGGAGCTTGGAAGCGTGGCCGGGGGGGGAGGACGGGGGGGGGTTATGTCCCAAACTAGGCAGGGCTGCAAAGGCAAATATTATTAACCCAACGAACCGGGAAGGGGAGGGCAAAAAAGGATGCAACAAGGTGTTCGGTGAATTTGAAGAACCGCTTTGTTGAATTAAACAAAGGATGCAGCCAGGAACCTGTTCCTTAAAGTAGACAGACCCCCCCACACACACACACCCCGCCACGCTTTTTTGCTCCCCCATCAGCTGCCAAAATAGACTGCCTTTACCCTCGGAGGTTCTGTTATAAATACTTTTAGACGCACATAAAGGGTCGAGGCGATGTGTTGCCGTCCAAATGTTGTTAGACTACTGTTCCCATCATCCCTGACCACCAGCCAGGCTGACAGGGGCTGACGGGAGCTGGAGTCTAGCAAAATCTCGATGGGCCACCAGTTCTCTGAAGCGGGGATTGTGAAGTCAGTAACAGCCATTATTGGTTACTAATCACATTTATTTTTAGCAAAACGCCTCTTTGCATTTGTTAAATCCTCCCAGGGGTTTATTTTCTGGGATTTGTTTCCAAAGAACCGCAAGCTCATGCACACACACGCACACAATCTCAGGAGCGGTTATATTTATTCGCTAACCACAACCACGTTTTGTGTCATCCCTCTCTCACACCCACACTACCACAGCAAATCTCAAAGTGATTTTTCAAAGTAGCTTGTCTCTTAGAATTTCTGGATAGCTGCATCGATTGGCAGAATGACTGCCTTCAAGTTGAACCACTGGTCAGTAGACAGGGAAATCCCTGGGTAGGAGAGAGAGAGGAAAAAAAAATATTGGTTAATTGTTCGCAGGAGAGACTCACCAAGGGTGAAACTAAGAATTTCCTTCCGTCAGCTGTGTAAGATAACCTGTTGTTCCTTTTCTCAAAGTTTTGAACCTGCTCCTATTTCTACATTTAGTCAGGTTGCGAAGAAAGAAAGAAAGAAAGAAAGAAAGAAAGAAAGAAAGAAAGAAAGAAAGAAAGAAAGAAAGAAAGATTGTGGACTAGAATCATCGCGAGGCCTTGGATGTTAGCACAGTTGGTGGGTGAGTCAAACCCTGTGCCCTGGTGCCACCTCGTGGCCACACAATTTTATACCTTTCCTCCCAGGTTTCGCATCGCCAGCCTTCTAGAATCTAGGTCAGGGGTCTGCAACCTGCGGCTCCGGAGCCGCATGTGGCTCTTTTACACCTTTGCCGCGGCTCCGGGGCGGATACTAGCGAGGGGAGGAGGCGCATTGTGCGCCCCGACACTCCCCACTGTGGCGGGCGCTGTACTGGCTGTGACGCACCGAGTGTTAGTCACGCACCGTCCCGACGTCACCTTCCCGCCCGCCCGCTACATTGTAAGGGGCATGTACGCTGGTCACTGCATTGAAAGGGGCATGTACACTGGTCACTGTTTTGAAGGGGAGTGAAGAACACACACACACAAAGGTAACGTGTTAATTTAACGTTTATTTCTATGAGGAGGAGTAATTCTGAGGGGTCAAACAAAGAAATAATAAAAAAGTGACAAAAAAGTTATTTTTATAATGACGAGTTTTGCGGCTCCCAGTTTTTTTTTCTTCGGAAACAGGTCCAAGTGGTCCAGTTGCCTACTGTGGGTGGGTTTACTCTCCAGTATGCAGCCTGGGGGACACGGGTGGCGATGTGGGTTAAACCACAGAGCTTAGGACTTGCCGATCAGAAGGTTGGCGGTTCGAATCCCCGCGACGGGGTGAGCTCCCGTTGCTCGGTCCCTGCTCCTGCCAACCTAGCAGTTTGAAAGCACATCAAGTGCAAGTAGATAAATAGGTACCGTTCCGGCGGGAAGGAAAATGGCGTTTCCGTGCGCTGCTCTGGTTCGCCAGAAGCGGTTTAGTCATGCTGGCCACATGATCCGGAAACTGTACACCGGCTCCCTTGGCCAATAAAGCGAGATGATCGCACAACCCCAGAGTCGGCCACGACTGGACCTAATGGTCAGGGGTCCCTTTACCTTTACTATGCAGCCTGGAGACGCTTCCCGATCCTGCTCTGTCCCTGATCTGCAGGGTCAGGGATCCCCGAACCCTCTGTGACGTCACAGCAGCTTAGCCACTGACAATGGCGTGTGCCCAAGATCTGCCCCCTCACAGGTCTGCACCCTGCACTCTCCTGGAGAACTTTAGCCTGCCTGGACTCCAAACTCCAAAAACTCATCTTGTTTCCCTGGGGAGGTGCAGAAACTAGCCTCCTACCCAGATGCAAAACGGGCACCTGTTGCCTCGCCCACTTCTGCCTCTCTCTGCCCACCCACCCCCACCACTCTTGGCATGTGTGTCCCCCCACCCCACCCCGGGCTGAAAGCAGCTCCCAACGTCCCTCAGCCATTAAGAGCTTTGTAAGAAGAAAAGCAGAGACATCACCTTGCCAACAAAGGTCCATATAGTTAAAGCTCTGGTTTTCCCAGTAGTATGGAAGTGAGAGCTGGACCATAAAGAAGGTTGATCACCAAAGAATGGATGCTTTTGAATTCTGGTGGTGGAGGAGACTCTTGAGAGTCCCATGGACTGCAAGAAGATCCAACCTCTCCATTCTGAAGGAAATCAGCCCTGAGTGCTCACTGGGAGGACAGATCCTGAAGCTGAGGCTCCAAGACTTTGGCCACCTCATGAGAAGAGAAGACTCCCTGGAAAAGACCCTGATGCTGGGAAAGATGGAGGGCGCAAGGAGAAGGGGACGACAGAGGACGAGATGGTTGGACAGTGTCCTTGAAGCTACTAACATGAGTTTGACCAAACTGCGGGAGGCAGTGGAAGACAGGAGGGCCTGGCGTGCTCTGGTCCAGGGGGTCACGAAGAGCCAGACACGACTAAACAACAAGAAGAAAACCTTCATGGCAAGATGCAGTTTGGCTGGAACTGCCTCCAGTCCTCTCTGCACATCTGTTAAAGGGCGATAGGAATCCTGCCCTCCCTTGCATCTAGACTTCGGGGAGTGACGACCCCTCCTCAATCACCATTGACTATAGGTGACTGAATGGGACGCAGGTGGCGCTGTGGTCTAAACCACAGAGCCTAGGGCTTGCCGATCAGAAGGTCGGCGGTTCGAATCCCCGCGACAGGGTGAGCTCCCATTGCTCGGTTCCAGCTCCTTACAACCTAGCAATTAGAAAGCACATCAAAGTGCAAGTAGATAAATAGGTACCACTCTGGCAGGAAGGTAAACGGCGTTTCCGCGCGCTGCTCTGGTTCGCCAGAAGCGGCTTCATCATGCTGGCCACATGACCCGGAAGCTGTACACTGGCTCCCTCAGCCAATAAAGTGAGATGAGCGCCGCAACCCCAGAGTCGGTCACGACTGGACCTAATGGTCATGGGTCCCTTTACCTTTATAGGAGACTGAAACTGGGACTTTCCGTATGCCAAGCAGGCATGGCCCTCCTCTTAAAAAGAACGGAAGCATCTAGTCCTCATCATTTTGATAAATTTACCCTGAGGCAGGCCTTTGATCTGTCTGGCTCAAGGTTACCTCTCCACTGACAGGTAACAGGTCTCCAAAGGTTTCAGGTATGGGGCAGTCCTTAGCCCTCCCTGGAGACACTGAGGACAGAACCTGGGACCTTCTGCATGCCAAGCATGTGTCCTACTGCCACTGAGCTCAGGCCATAGTCAACTCAAAATGAAGCAATGGGTCAGTGCATCCGGCTGTTAACCAGAAGGTTGGTGGTTTGATGGCTGTGAGCAGGACTCCGGCATTGCAGGGGGTTGGACTAAATGACCCTTTGGTGTCCCTTGCAACTCTTTTTTAAAAATCTTATTCTTTTTACAGTCAAGTGGCACGTACAATTTATGAATTATTCCCCTTCCACCACACACCACTGAACATCAACACAAGGGCAATTCTGGCCACCAGGAAAGCTTCGCTGTCTTACTTGTTTTAGTGACTCAAAAAACAAAACAAAAAACACACCCAGCCCACCATTTAAAATACTTTCCTGTCCATTAACAAAATTTGATGCAAAATAAACCCATTATTTAAAGAGCAGAAGTTTGTATACACTGCTGTTCTACATCCAATTTGCTAATGGGAAGGGGATTTGCAATAGGCTGGCAACCTTCTACAGACTTGTTCTCTTTATTACAGGAATGTTGGTGCAAGCTTTCGCAAGTATTAAATGTGGCCGGCCATTTATGAATGTTGCGTGAACACAGGAGACATGGAAGGCAAATTTTCTATGTGCACTTGTGGAGTGGGAGAAATGCAATTTTATGGATTTGATGCAAAAAGAACGCCAAGCCTTCTGAACTGTCTCCCAACTTAGAAATAAGCTATCTTTTTCAATGGAGTTTTCACAGAAATGACAGGAACTTGCCTCTTTGAACAAAGCCCCCGACGGAACTGAGCTTTCCCACTACTGTATAGCTTATTTTGTATTCCATGCTATAATATGGTTTGTTGTTTTTACACCGGGGCTCCCATGGAAATCAATCATGGTGAGGAAAATGCGTGTTCACCTTCTAGTCTGCCTCTATGGGTTTCTAGACTTCTCTCAGAATGGTAACACGCTGGGGATTAAAATGCAGAACTCTGTACAGTGGTGCCTCGCAAGACGAAATTAATTCATTCCGCGAGTTTTTTCGCCTTGCGATTTTTTCGTCTTGCGAAGCACGGTTTCGGAAAAGTTTTGGAAAAGCTTCAAAAATCACCAGTCTTCAAAAACCTCAAAAAAGGCTACCACACCGCGTGCTATGAGTTGCTCCTCGAAGTTCAAGTCGCAACTGTATTAACGGTTTTAAGAAAAAGGGAACAAACTTGCAAGACGTTTCCGTCTCGCGAAGCAAGCCCATAGGGAAATCGTCTTGCAAAGCAACTCAAAAAACCAAAAACCCTTTCGTCTAGCGAGTTTTTTGTCTTGCGAGGCACCACTGTACCTGGGTGGCCCAGTGGCTGCCATCTTGGCAGCCTCTGGTGGCACCGGCAAAAGTCTGGCTGCAGGAAATGAGTGTGAGGAGGAGCAGGGACACCATCCTCACTCCAAACTCAAAACAGGGTTGCGTCAGGGGGAAGTTCCTCGCTGTTTTTCCATTAGGAAAGCTAAGGCATGGGACGCAGGTGGTGCTGTGGGTTAAACCACTGAGCCTTGGGCTTGCCGATTGGAAGGTCAGCAGTTTGAATCCCCACAACGGGGTGAGCTCCCGTTGCTCAGTCCCTGCTCCTGCCAACCTAGCAGTTCAAAAGCACCTCAAAGTGCATGTAGATAAATAGGTACCGCTCCAGCAGGAAGGTAAATGGCGTTTCCGTGCGCTGCTCTGGTTCACCAGAAGCGGCTTAGTCATGCTGGCCAAATGACCCGGAAGCTGTACGCCGGCTCCCTCGGCCAATAAAGCAAGATGAGCGCCGCAACCCCAGAGTCGGTCACAGCTGGACCTAATGGTCAGGGGTCCCTTTACCCTTTACCTAAAGCTAAGGCAACACTGTGCACTGCCACCCTAAGATTAGTAATGTGCCTTATTGGTGCTGTTAAGTCGGGGTGATAAACAGGGATGTGTTAATGCCTGATCCCACCGTGAATGATTCACTTTGAAAGCCCTTGTTACCCGCAATTGTTGCCGTCGTATTACTGCGGAGGAACCGAAGGATGTTCACATTTTCTAGAGGACAGTCGACAGGGCAGTACGATTTACAGTGTCAAAGGCCTTGGTCAGGTCAATAAACGCCATTTGGCTATGAGTGATTGCCAAAGAAGCAACAGCTATTAAGAAGTCAAAAGTGAGCATGTGGAAAAGTGGGCCTCAGCCTGGATTTGGTTAGAGCGTGCTGCTGATAATGCCACGGTTGCAGGTTTGATCCCCGTATGAGACAGCTGCTTATTCCTGCATCACATTGGACTGGATGATCCTCAGGATCCCTTCCAATTCTATGTTGCAGATTCTATGTTGCAGGGCCGTGGGTTAAACCACAGAGCCTACGACTTGCCGATCAGAAGGTCGGCGGTTCGAATCCCTGCAGCGGAGTGAGCTCCCGTTGCTTGGTCCCTGCTCCTGCCAACCTAGCAGTTCGAAAGCATGTCAAAGTGCAAGTAGATAAATAGGTACCACTCTGGCGGAAAGGTAAACGGCGTTTCCGTGCGCTGCTCTGGTTCGCCAGAAGCGCTTAGTCATGCTGGCCACATGACCCAGAAGCTATACGCCGGCTCCCTCGGCCAATAAAGCGAGATGAGCGCCGCAACCCCAGAGTCGGCCATGACTGGACCTAATGGTCAGGGGTCCCTTTACCTTTACCTATATTGCAGGTTGTGAGTCAGAGGTGGGTTTCGAGTCTGGACCAGGTGGGCTAGGACAGCCTTCCCCAGAAGCCCTGCTAGCTGCAGATGATGAGAGCTGGATAGGCCAAGCCTTGCGGTAGGGATCGGCCACAAACTCGTGAAAACTCACTGAGTAACTCTTCCTGGAGGTGCCCAGAGAAGGAAGAATAGGCAGCGCCGAGTAAATATTGAACATGACAGCTCTGGCCGCTCTACCAAAGAGCTTCCCCTTCTCATCACCCTCCCCACCAAAAAGAGGTATTAACCACCCTTACTCCCCACCCACCCAGCTGCCACATCCATGTGGCAAACCCCACTTAACAAACAGCGCCCTAGATGTCAGAAAGCTGTGATATCAAGAAAGCTCCGGAGGAAACTTCGCAGTAGTTCTCTTTTAATTTACATGTGCACATCTTTTTTTAAAAAAACGAAACAAAACACAAACTGACCCCCCAAAGCAGCCCCTTCAAGTTCTCCATCTGACAGGCAGGCCCCCGCCCACCCCACCAGCCCAAGGCTTCCACCCCCAAAGCTTAAAACCTATGGCACATTTGTTGCCCTGCTTCTCGTACAGCAGTTTTGCACTTATGGAAATGTCTTTTTGCTCAGAGGAAGATTTCCAAGGGAAGGCGGGAGGAAGGAGAGAGAAGACGAAAAAAGAAGAAGACACCCATTGTTCAGTTTGGAAGCAATGGTGTGTGTGTGTGTGTGTGTGTGTGTGTGTGAACGCCTGGGGCTCTGTCCCGAGGAAGGGGGGTGGGGGAGCGGGAAGGGAGAGCAACGCAGGCCCGCGAAACACAAGGGAGTGGAAGGGTGTTTTCCGTCTTGGCTTCTGCCTCCTGCTCCGGTGTCGCGAAACGGAACGAGGGAACGAGCAGCAGCAGCAGTAGCATCCAACACAGCGCTGGTCCGGACGGGCTCATTTCCAATGGCGGTGCCTCTGGAACCCTTTCACTGTTGCTTGGGTTTCAGGGACAGCCTCTGCACCAACCTGTAAAGCAGACTGAAGTGCTGGGAGGGGGGGCAGGGAAGGGGGGGCACACAAGCAGAGAGAGAGAGAGAGAGAGAGAGAGAAACAGACAGTGAGTGGGTGGCTCTGTATCTTCAAGATGAATGCTGAAATGGGCAGAGGGGGTGGGAGAAGTGTTTTCGAATCTGGCATGCTGCAGCCACATCTGCAACAGTGGTACCTTAAAAGAGGAGAATGTCTGTTGTGCCACAATGAAACGTCCTATGGGGGGGGGGCGCAAGGCTTTCTTTGCTATAGCTCAATTCCCCACCCTTGGCCAGCCCACCCACCCGTATCAAGATAGGGAGGTGGCTTCGGGTGGATCACACCCATTGTCTCAAAAACCTGATTTTTAAGCCAGGATCTGGAGCACTGTGAAAGAAGAAGAAGAGGAGTTTGGATTTGATATCCCGCCTTTCACTCCCCTTAAGGAGTCTCAAAGCGGCTCACATTCTCCTTTCCCTTCCTCCCCCACAACAAACACTCTGTGAGGTGAGTGGGGCTGAGAGACTTCAGAGAAGTGTGACTGGCCCAAGGTCACCCAGCAGCTGCATGTGGAGGAGCGGAGACGCGAACCCGGTTCCCCAGATTACGAGACTACTGCTCTTAACCACTTCACCACACTGGCTCTCAGTGGTTCCATAAGGCCAATGGGAATCTACACTTGTTATTTTCTTTCTCTAACAGTAGCCAGCACCTGGGCACCCCACCCCAAAGAAAAACAATGCCTGGCAAATCAAAAATGGAGGCGAGTTTTAAAAAAGCCATTTGATATAGAAGAGTCAGGGGAGAATAATCGGTTCAGAGTTTAAAATTCTCCTCGGTTAAGTCGCAATCCTATTTACACCACACACACAACCAAAATTTGTTCCGATTTCTGTGCATGAAATGAAATGAAATTAACGGGATGGGCAAAAAATGTAGCCCCTGAATAGTTTTCCTTTCTGTCTGCAAGTTTTCAAGTTTCCTTGCAAACGTGAGGATTGGAAAGGTTAAAAAGGACTCTGTCCACATTAATCCGGCTTAATGAACTGCTAACAGATAGCCTCCATCATGAAAAGGCATGGAAGCCAGCACCTATTAAGAGGTGAAGGCAAAACTCAAAAATGTGGCAAAAGAAGCTTCTGAATACACTTTGCCCCAACTCAGACAAGCCCTGGGGAAAAGAAAAAGCAGCTGCCTTGATTTCCTCCTGAAATTTGCTTGAGAGAGGCCACCACGGTCTGTTGCATACTCACCTGGACAGCAACATAGGCTACCCCGAGATAGGCAGCAATGCAGAGAGCCAGGAGGAGATCAAAGATGGCAGGTTTGACCCTGGAAAACAAGCCAAGTTTAGACGTGCGCACATTACGGAGTCCCTTAAAGCGCACACTTCACGCCCTCCTGCACCACTTCCACAGAAATTGGTGGATTACAAAGTGAATGAGTAACAGGAATACAAAGTCGCCCTTTGAAGTGGGGAATGTTTTCTACTCCGCCAGAGCTGCTCATGTTCAGGTGGGTGCTACTCAGAAAGGCCCGTTCAACTCCTCTCCCAGGGCGCCCTCCCCCCTTCTCCCTCTGGAAAGAAGTGTGTCCAATTTGCAGCGTTTGCCCCTCCCCACACGCTCTCCTACGAAATGTGCTCAGGGTCAGGTACGCCACCAGTCTGAGAAGGCGTGCTTCTGACCCCTCTCTGTTGGGTGGGAAACAGATGGTGCATGGAGTGACACCCAGCCCTGTCTGCTGGATTTAACCCCTATTTAACCCCTTCTGCAACCTGCTGGCTGGGGATGATGCCATCGCAGGCCATAACATCTGGCGAGTCCCAAGTTTGAGAAGGCTGCCTTCATAGGTTGGAAACACAGAGTGAGAGTGTGTAAGAGAGAGGAACATAATGGCTGGGCAGGAAGGAGGAATCACTTGACGCTTCCTCCTTGGCTGGCAGATCTGGTCTGTGTGTGTGGTTTGGGAGCTGCACGGCCAGGGAAAAAACAATGCTATCCAGGGTTGTAAAGACTGCAGAGAGAATAATTGGGTGCACTCTTCCCACCTTGGATCAAATCTATGCAGCCAGGTGCCATAAGAAAGCGGCAGAGATAGCACAGGATAGTACGCACCCCGGAAATGATCTCTTTCAGCTTCTGCCTTCTGGAAGAAGGTATAGGGTTATAAAGGCCAGGACTAGCCGCCTGAGAAACAGCTTCTACGCAAATGCAATTCTGGCTCTAAACGCAGCATAAGGGGTCTCTATAGTATAATGTGGGACGCGGGTGGCGCTGTGGGTAAAAGCCTCAGCGCCTAGGGCTTGCCGATCGAAAGGTCGGCGGTTCGAATCCCTGCGGCGGGGTGCGCTCCCGTTGTTCGGTCCCAGCGCCTGCCAACCTAGCAGTTCGAAAGCACCCCCGGGTGCAAGTAGATAAATAGGGACCGCTTACTAGCGGGAAGGTAAACGGCGTTTCCATGTGCGGCTCTGGCTTGCCAGAGCAGCGATGTCACGCTGGCCACGTGACCCGGAAGTGTCTCCGGACAGCGCTGGCCCCCGGCCTCTTGAGTGAGATGGGCGCACAACCCTAGAGTCTGTCAAGACTGGCCCGTATGGGCAGGGGTACCTTTACCTTTACTTATAGTATAATGTATTTTAAAATGGGGTTTTAGAGTTTTTAGGGGTTTTTGAATGTTTTATGTAGTTTTTATGTAGTTTTATATAGTTTTATGTAGTTTATGTAGTTTATATAGTTTTTATGTAGTTTTATGTAGTTTTGTGGTAGTTTTATGTAGTTTTTATGTAGTTTTTCAATTTCATTGTTCTGCATGGGACAATGACAATAAAGATATTGTATATCCTCAGAGCCTGTGTATTCAAAGCAGGGCAATGCCAGCACCACAAGGTGGGAGAAAAGGCTGACCACATTACTGGGCCCAAGAGGAATCTGCACAGAACATTTCCCAATTCTTTCTGTGGGGCAACAGGTTGATATTAAGAGTTCTTTCTCCCCACCCCACACAGGCCAAGCCCTAGAACACAGGCCTTTGAGGGGGCCTCTGATCTCAGGGCAAAGAAATACAAAACAAGGTTGCCTGCACTTACCTATAAGCATTCATTACTTGCTTCAACTGGTCGTAGAAAACGAACTCGGGGTCCCTGCATGGGGTTTAGAAAAAGAGGGGCGCCGAATTAACTTGTTAATGTTTTTAAAACAGTTGTGCCTTTGAAAGTCACAACACAACACAGTAAGCTGTAGAAATACACGGGGGTGCCTTATGTACAGAGTCCGATCTAGCTCATCCTAAATACTAATACAGTGGTACCTTGGGTTACATACGCTTCAGGTTACATACGCTTCAGGTTACAGACTCCGCTAACCCAGAAATAGTGCTTCAGGTTAAGAACTTTGCTTCCGGATGAGAACAGAAGTTGTGCTCTAGCAGCGCGGCGACAGCAGGAGGCCCCATTAGCTAAAGTGGTGCTTCAGGTTAAGAACAGTTTCAGGTTTAGAATGGACCTCCGGAACGAATTAAGTACTTAACCCGAGGTACCACTGTAATCTAACTAAGCTGTCTGAGGGAAGAGCTGTGTGGCTGGAGCTGCCTTGCCCCCCATTGCCAGCTCTGCTGGATCTGACCCGAGAGGAGAAGTGCTCCTGGGGAGGAACAGGCAACCAGCCCCACCATGTTCCCACCCTCCTGCTGCAAGGATTCCAATGGCCCTCAAGACTCAGACAGTGCGACAGAATCTGCTGTGGCGTCCCAGACAGGGTACGGTCACCTGCTTAGCCCCTGGGTCTTGTCTGTGGAGAATGAATGCTTCCGGGGGGCGGGGGAGCTCGTTATCAAGGGCAGGAGACCCAGAACTGCCACGGACATCGGTGGGGAGCTGCTGCTCTTAACCGTGGTAGAAGAAGGGGAACTTTAATAACTTGGGCTTCAGACTGCTCTTTCCTCCTCCCTTCTATTCATTTCTCCTTGTGTGCCATGCCTTTTAAATATGATTTTTATTAAATTTTCTGTTTTACAATTTCAGATAAACATTTTACATGCTTAAGATATCAATGACTTCCCTTCTCTTTCCATGGTTCATTCTGCATATCATAAATTCCTGCATATTTTACAAAAACTATACTGATCGGTTTTCCATTATTACATCCATCAAAACTTATTTATACTATTGAATTTATCTTAATGCTGCCAGCGTTTGCAGCTGTACAATTATTTTCCATACATTCAATAAATATTTTCCAATCTTCTTTATATGTATGCTCTTCTTGTTCTCTTATTCTATATATTAAGTCTGCAAGTTGTGCATAGTCTGTCCACGTAAGTTGCCAATCTTTTTTGGTTGGGACCTTGCTCGTTTTCCATTTTGGGGCTAACAAAACATGGGCCGCAGCAGAAGCATACATAAATACCATATTTTTCTGTGTATAAGACGACCCCTATTTTTTTTTAACCCAAAATTAAGAAATTAAGTTGTTTAGCTTTTTGGGGTGGGGGATGGGGGAGGTCACTTCCGCCAATCGCGCACCCGCCTGCCCGCCACTGCCGATCGCTTGCCACAGCCACTACCGACTGCCCACCTGGCCGCAGCCACCAATTGTCTGCCCACTCGCTGCCACCAACAGCCCACCCGCCCACTTGCTGCAGCCACCAATCTCCTGCTCAATTGCAGCAGCCACAACCAATCGCCAGCAGGCCTTGCTGCAGCCACCAATCACCCACCCAATCGCCCCTGCCAATCTCCTGCTTGCTGCTGCCAATAAGCGCACGCCCCCCCCCCCCCCCGCATTCACTATTCGTGTATAAGACGACACTCAATTTTTGCCTTTTTTTTTTTTGGCAAAAAGCAACGTCTGATACACAGAAAAATACGGTAACCTTTTTTGACACCTGGGAATTTCAGACTGAGTTATCCTCAACAGACTCTGGTTTTGGTGGGAAAGTATTTTAAAACATTTTTTTCGATTCATCATGGATCATTTCCCAATACAGTGGTACCTTGGGTTAAGAACTTAATTCGTTCTAGAGGTTCGTTCTTAACCTGAAACTGTTCTTAGCCTGAAGTACCACTTTAGCTAATGGGGCCTCCCGCTGCCGCCATAGCACAATTTCTGTTCTCATCCTGAAGCAAAGGTAACATTTCTGGGTTAGCAGAGTATGTAACCTGAAGCGTATGTAACCCAAGGTACCACTGTACTCTTTTACCCAAAAGCTCCTAGACCTCTTGGTAGTTTGTGTAGGAATACCTGTTTGAGTGCTAGATGCACAGATGTGGGTTCAGTCACACACCTTATAAGAGAGCAAGCTTTGTTTCCTGCTACTCCAGAGGGGAGAACCTGAACCAGTGGATTCAAACACAATGAAGGGAGATTCCAGCTCAATACAGTGGTGCCCCGCAAGACGAATGCCTCACAAGAAGGAAAACAGGCTAGACGAAAGGGTTTTCCGTTTTTGAGTTGCTTCGCAAGACGATTTTCCCTATGGGCTTGCTTCGCAAGACGAAAACGTCTTGCAAGTCTTGCGTTTCCCCCCCGCTTCCCCCACCTTTTTCTAAGCCGCTAATAGCCTTTTAGCAGCTAATCCGCTAAGCCTTTAATAGCCGCTAAGCCGCTAAACCGCTAATAGCGCTAATCCGCTAATAGGGTTGCTTCGCAAGACGAAAAAACCGCTAGACGAAGAGAATTGCGGAACGGATTCTTTTCGTCTTGCGAGGCACCGCTGTATTAGGAATAACTTTCCGAGGGTTAAGAGCTGTTGGACAGAGGAACAGAAAAGCTCGGAAGATGGCGGTGGCCTCTCCTTCATGGGAGGATTTTAAGCACAGGTTGGACGGCCATCTGCCAGGAATTCATTAGCTGTGACTCCTGCATTGCAGGGGGTTGTCCTAGATGCCCTTGGTAATTTCAAACATTTATTTCAATTCATTATAAATCATTTCCCAATACTCTTTTACCTTGTTACATGTCCATGCCATGCTTTTCTAAAGGGGTGTCTGAATACTGATTTTTGTAAGCCACTCTCAAAGCTTTTCTGGCTAAAGAGCAGAGTATACAGTGGTGCCCCACAAGACGAATGCCTCGCAAGACGGAAAACCCGCTAGACGAAAGGGTTTTCCGTTTTTGAGTTGCTTCGCAAGATGATTTTCCCTATGGGCTTGCTTCGCAAGACGAAACGTCTTGCTAGTCTTGCGATTTTTTCCCCGCTCCCCCCCCTTTTTCTAAGCCGCTAATAGCCTTTTAGCAGCTAAGCCGCTAAGCCTTTAATAGCCGCTAAGCCACTAAACCGCTAATAGTGCTAATCCGCTTAGCCGCTAATAGGGTTGCTTCGCAAGACGAAAAAACCGCTAGACGAAGAGAATCGCGGAACGGATTCTTTTCGTCTTGCGAGGCACCACTGTAAATGCCATCAATAAATAAGAAACCAGCTGGGCCCTGAACCAGGACCACCCAGTCTTTCCTGCAGATGCTTTTTACTAGGTCACCTCTCTGTGCCACCCTGTCTCTAACCACGTCAACAAGGGTGTGTGTGTGTGTGTGGATATTGAGGGCAGTTAACAGCACAAAAGAGCACCAGAGCAGAACAGGGAAAAGAGCAAAGGGCAGCCCTGCTCTTACCGCTTGTCTGCCTTCACGTGATGCTGCTTGACGTCTTTCAGGTAGCGGCTCATGTAATATTCCAGAGTGTTGATGAAAGTGCTGTCTTTGTCGACCAGCTGAGCGGCCCTTGGCTGACTGGTGAGCCAGTCCATCACCGACTCCATCTGTTCCTGCTGGATCTGCTACAGAAGCAAGGGGGGGGGGAGGGAGACAGGCAGTCGGTCTGCACTGCAGATTAACCCCCCCCACCACCCTCAGGCTTCCCCTTGCCCTGTAGGGAAGAGACCCCACTAGCAAGGCATGCTTACCATCTGGTCTGTGAAGATCTGGAGGTCAACAGGTACTCCCTAGAGGAACAGACACAATGGAGAGTTTTCATCTATAAAACACATTGGGAATTTTAGGCATCCTGCTACCTTTTTGTTTTTTGAAGGCAGCCCCTGCTCACGGGCTTTCAATGCAAGAGACACAACCCGAAAGGGGAGAAGGATGGGGAGGGAAGAGAAAAACAAGCACCAATTCTTAAAGTTATGTGATGTGGGAGCGAGGTGCTCTCCGTGTCCTAATTTTGTTAGCAGCAATGAATGAATACCAACCGCAAATAAAGATAAAGGTAAAGGGACCCCTGACCATTAGGTCCAGTCGTGACCGACTCTGGGGTTGTGGCACTCATCATGCTCTATAGGCCGAGGGAGCCGGTGTACAGCTTCCGGGTCATGTGGCCAGCATGACTAAGCCGCTTCTGGCGAACCAGAGCAGTGCACGGAAACGCCGTTTACCTTCCCACCGGAGTGGTACCTATTTATCTACTTGCACTTTGACGTGCTTTCAAACTGCTAGGTTGGCAGGAGCAGGGACCGAGCAACGGGAGCTCACCCCGTCACGGGGATTCGAACCGCCGACCTTCTGATCGGCAAGTCCTAGGCTCTGTGGTTTAACCCACAGTGCCACCCGCGTCCCTACCAACCACAAAAATGTTAGGCAAACTTGGCAGCTTCAAGGTTTTTGGCCTTGATCGCTAAATACAAGTCAAACAAGCGTGCTAAATTAGACCACTCCCTGGGAAAGCAGAAGAAAAAATCCCAGTGCAAATCACTCAGTTCAAAATTTTCTGGGAAAGCACACATCACTGCTCATGCTATAAGTGCAAGATAATGTGAGGCACTCCTGACCCTGGGTTTCAAGCCAGGCAGGCATGGCTTCTTCCAGAATAGCCTTTCTGAACAACCCTGCAGCCCTCAACGGTCAGTTCAGTGGCTGCTGAGCACACTTAATCCATGTAGTGCTGTCTTGGGTTGGGTTTTTCTGGTCCCTCATTAGGGCTCTCCCCTCCCCGCGAGCATAAAATTTCTTTTGCTCCCCATGGAGCATGCTAATATTCCCTCCTTGTTTCTCAAGAGCCTTGTTTTGGCAACATGCTCCTCGTAACTCAGCACCTGAGTGCGATGTTAGTGTATCTGATAATCACAACCAAGACCAGGGATGGTTTAGGGGAGGAAAAGAACCAAATGGAGCTGGTCTTTCAGAATGGCCCCGTTGCCCCTTCTTTCCGGCCAGGTCAAGTGGCAGCCTACAGCTAACAGTTGACAGAGTGGGCCCTGCTGCCCTATCAGCCCCTCGGCTGCAATCGGTGGAATGGCTGCTAACAGTTCTGGGAGGGGGAGAGCCAGATGAGGAAATGTGATGGGGCCACGCTGAGCCTCTTCCTCTGCTGTGGCTAGCGAAAACTGCCTACAGGGAGAGCAGATGTAGAGAAAAACCCTCACCTTTTCTGTTAGGTTGTAGATAACCCGCGTCAAAGCCTCCACAACAATGCGGGTGTTGCGGGTTAGAATTTTGGGGTCGACCCGTGCCCTGCAAAGGGGAAAGGCAACAGTGGTGTCAAGAACATCTTTTCCTGGGAGGGAGGGAGAGCAGGCATTTGAACGACTGCCTACCAAGTTTCTCATTTGGGCCCCGTGTCGTGCAGTCTTCCGCCAGCAGTCCCACTTGGGCCCGAGGTCTTTAAAAAGGGACAACCAGCCCATGGTCCTCATAAACGTGGAAGGGAGCATGCAAACCGATGTCTTCCCTCAAAAAGGGGAGCAAGGCCCATACGACACAGTTCATACAGCTGGCTATCCCACCCCCCACCTTGACAGCAAGCCGATCTGCAGATGATGAAGCCTTGGGGCAGAATTCTGGGGGGAGATACTCCCAAGTGCAGTGGTAACTTTCAAGAACTGATGGCTGGCTGTGCTTGTTTTCCTCCTCCCTTTCCAACCCTTTCCCCTTTCGGCAAGGAACCATTTCAGATAACCAGGTGGCTGGGAAGGGTGCGCATGCTGCATTTTTAAAAAACGCTCCTCCACATTAATAATGCTAAATATTGGTTGAGGGACGCGGGTGGTGCTATGGGTTAAACCACAGAGCCTAGGGCTTGCCGATCAGAAGGTCGGCGGTTCGAATCCCCGCGACAGGGTGAGCTCCCGTTGCTCGGTCCCTGCTCCTGCCAACCTAGCAGTTCGAAAGCACGTCAAAGTGCAAGTAGATAAATAGGTACCGCTCCAGCAGGAAGGTAAACGGCGTTTCCATGTGCTGCTCTGGTTCACCAGAAGCGGCTTAGTCATGCTGGCCACATGACCCGGAAGCTGTACGCCGGCTCCCTCGGCCAATAAAGCGAGATGAGCGCCGCAACCCCAGAGTCGGCCACGACTGGACCTAATGGTCAGGGATCCCTTTACCTTTATATATTGATTGATAATCTAGTTGTTAAAATCTCTCTCTCTCTCTCTCTCTATATATATATATACCTTGGGTTAAGTACTTAATTCATTCCGGAGGTCCGTTCTTAACGTGAAACTGCTCTTAACCTGAGACACCACTTTAGCTAAAGGGGCCTCCTCCTGCTGCCGCCACACGATTTCTGTTCTCATCCTGAAGCTAAGTTCTTAACCCGAGGTACTATTTCTGGCTTAGCTGAGTCTGTAACCTGAAGCATATGTAACCCGAGGTACCACTGTATATATATGAACGCAAGTATAGCCCTGCTGGATGTGGTAAATGGCCCATTTAGTCCAGCAGCCTGTTTTCGCAGTGGCCAACCAGATGCACCAATGGGAAATCTGCAAGCAGGACCCAAACACAAGAGCATTCTTGCCTCCTGCCGTTTCTAACAACTGTTATTGAGAAGCACCATTGCCTCCAACCGTGGTCTAACTCTCTTTTAAAGACATCCAAGTGGGTGGCCCTCCCTGCCTGCTGTGGGAGGGAGTTCCACAGTTTAACTATGTGCTATGTGTTATCTATGCACAGTAGGAAAGTTAGGACACCAGTAAGAACTGATAATTACATGCAGGGCGTTTGCCACCCCAAACTGGTGTTAACAACAACAACAAGAAGAGTTTGGATTTGATATCCCGCTTTATCACTACCCGAAGGAGTCTCAAAGCGGCTCACATTCTCCTTTCCCTTCCTCCCCCACAACAAACACTCTGCGAGGTGAGTGGGGCTGAGAGACTTCAGAGAAGGGTGACCGGCCCAAGGACACCCAGCAGCTGCAGGTGGAGGAGCGGGGAAGCGAACCTGGTTCACCAGATTACGAGTCTATCGCTCTGAACCACTACCCCGCAGGGGTTGCCGGACTACAACATCCCATCATCCCTGTTGGGTGCTGGTGCTGACAGTGGGTTGGGTCCCAACAACATCCAGAGGGCCAGCATGGCTTCCCCACCCCTACTTCATACCACGACTGAGGGCCAAACTGGAAGTCACCACTGGCACACTTTTCACACACAACGGAGGGCATGCTACTGGACTTGCGCAAGGAATTCCGGTTCCAGAGAAACGTACAAAGCTTTTTCGTACAAAATGCCTCTACACCCACCCACTGCTACGTTGCAGTGAGGCTGGGAGGGAGACAGAGACAGAAAGAGAAACGATAGAAGAGCCTAAGCCCGTCCTGCCAGATCATAGAGCATTCAGACATGCAGGCTCTTTGCCTCCCAGCCAGAACTCGTGGGATTTGTGTTTAGAAGACGTGGCAACAGCTTACGTGGTTTAAGAAAGGAAAAGTGGCTACACTTCCCCATGCATAACTTTTGCCTGCCAACAGGTAAAATACTGCTAAATGCAATCTCACAGGTTCAGCTCCTGAGCCAAGTGGCAGCCCTCCAAGTTCATGCCCTATGGAATGGCTGTAAGCTTGATGACAGAGCACCTGTGCCAGCAGAAGGATCCAGGTTCAAACCCAGAATCTCCAGTTAGGACTGGGGGAAAAGGTAAAAAGGTAAAGGACCCCTGGACGGTTAAGCCCAGTCAAAGGTGACTATAGGGTTGCAGCGCTCATCTTGCTTTCAGGCAGAGGGAGCTGATGTTGGTCCACAGACAGCTTTCCGGGTCATGTGGCCAGCAGGACTAAACCGCTTCTGGCACAACGGGACACCGTGACGGAAACCAGAGCGCATGGAAACGCTGTTTACCTTCCCACCGCAGCGGTACCTATTTATTTACTTGCACTGGTGTGATTTTGAACTGCTAGGTTGGCAGGAGCTGGGACCGAGCAACGGAGCTCACTCCGTTACGGGGATTAGAACAGCCGGCCTTCTGATCGGCAAGCCCAAGAGGTTCAGCGGTTTGGATCACAGTGCCACCCACATCCTTGCTGGGAAAGGGCTCCAGTCTGAACCCCTGGAGAGCTACTGCCAGCCAGTGTGGGCAATGGTGAGTTAATGGGCCCAAATGGTTTGACTCAGTGAGAGGCAGCCTCATGTTTCCTAATGAGTTCAAGGTTCGTTTTCTGATAATGATCCTAAGCTCACATGTGCAAGTAGACCAGCAGCTGAAAGCTATTGCCACCCCCTGCCAGCCCTTATTGCAGCCTCCTCACCCAGCGGCTGACCTCACGTCCATGATGCTCTTGCGCAGGCCGTCTCGGTGGCTCTCAAGGTGGGAGACGGTGAAGGCTGGGAGGCGCCGGATGGCAAAGCGCTCATGCTCCCAGGCCAGCATGTCTTCCGCGAGGTTGATTTTCTTGTGCACCATGGAGAACCTCACCTCTGGGAACTGGCTGGCAACCACCTGGGAGACAAGTCACCAGAAAGAGAGGGGTGAGGAGGCACCAAGCAACTTGCCTCCGGGGCACAGTTAGCAACTCCCTCGCAACCCTGCTTTTCTTAAAACAGGGTCTGCGCCTTTGCCATGCTGCGCAACCCCAATCTATTCCCAAAAGGGGAATAGTAGTAGTAGTAGTAATTTATTTATACCCCACCCATCTGGCTGGGTTTTCCCAGCCACTCTGGGTGGCTTCCAACAAAGATTAAAAATACATTAAAACATCCCTAAAACTTCCCTAAACAGGGCTCAGTGAGAGAGGGTCTGCTTTTCATCTCCAGCTAGGACCGGGAGAGCCTCCCTCCCTGACACCCTGGAGAGACACTGCCAGTCAGTATGGGTGATGCTGAGCTAGATGGACCAATGGACTGTTTTGAAACAGTCATGAGGACTAGAATCTTGCTTCAATTTTTAAAGGAAAGGACCATGCCTCATCGGCAGAGCACCCGCTTCACATTCAGCTTTCAGGTTCAGTCCTCCGCATCTTCAGATAGTGATGGCAACTGCCCCCTGCCTGAAACCCTGTGGTTCCCAAGTCACCTTCATAGGTAGCGTGCACTGCAGTAGTCCAAGTGGAAGATAACCAGAACATGGACCACTCTGGCGAGACAGGGCACAGGCAGGTAGGGTCTCAGCCAGTGTACCCAATGCAGCTGGTAGACAGCTGCCCTGGACACAGAACTGACCTGTGCCTCCATGACTCCCAGGCTGTGCACCTGGTCCTTTAGGTGGGCAGTTACCCCTACAGGACTGGGGTGTCCTCCACACCTGTGTCCCCCAGAAACAGTAATTTTGTAGTAAGGACAGCTGCTCCAGAAAAGGGGGAAGAGGCATCCACATTAGCCGGAGCACAGTGGGATGTTCTGCCAGGAAGGCACACTTGAGTGTTCAACTGCTGCTGCCCTCCCATCTTGCCCAACACACGCCAGCCTGACCCCCTTTGTTTACCAGCTCCAGCTCCTTCAGAAAAGCATGCTGAAGGGTCCCCTCCTTTGGGGGCTTCGAGACGTGTAGGTGGAGACTGTTCCCTCTCCCCAGAGTGTCCAGACAGAGTACGAAGGCCACGTTGTCCTGCAGCAAACTGGAATCTGAAATAAGGGATGTGAAATGGCCACCATCCTACAAAGAGTTATGGGGCGGGGAAGGAGGTGGAAGAGACATCTTTGCATGCTCTTAATGCAACATGAAAAACCACTGATTGTCAGCTAAGACCAGGGATAGTCACAAGCTATTTATTGAGAGCAACACGCTCCCATTTCTAAAAGTGAGAAAGTTAGGCCCATGGCTTCCCAGTCATCCTCCTGATGCCTCCTCTCCCCTCCTGGCCAACTCATAAGCCAGGTCCTGCACCTGGCCGTAGAACCTCCAGGTTTATGGGGAATATAACAATAAGCCTGCAGCACCTGTGTGATCCAAGTTGTCTTCCAGCCACCGCTTGGTCCCTTGATAGTTAAACTTGCCACCTCCAGACGCAAAGAACAGCAGATTATACCTGGGGAGGCAGAGAGAAGGGTCAGGCTTACATTCTGGCCACTGCACACTCGCTTTGGGCAAAAGGCCTCCCAGAAGAGGAATTCGACTTACCCGGCGTGTGTCCGTTTGTACGTGTAGAGGCGAGAGAACAGCCTGGCCAGTTCCAGGAGCATGGCGACCCCACTGCCGTTGGAGTCGGCGCCATGGGAGAGCCACTGGGGGGAGGAAAGAATATCCAATATTAATGGCTACTCTGGGTTTGGGGACACACCAGCAAAGGGGGACAGGAAGCAAGCCAGATACTTGCAGAGTAAGCCAAGTCATTGCCACACATTGCAGCCAGCAAGAAGCTGGGGGTTTTTTTTGCCACTGAATGGCGCAACAGCCACCAACACCTGCAGCTTGTTTTTAAAAAATAGAACAGCTGTGATCCACAAAAGGGAAGGCCAGCCGGGTGCTGAGGACAGCCAAGGTGGGAGGGCAGCTTGCCTTCCAGCCCTGCTTGTGAGCTCCCTCCTCAATAAACACATGAGACGTAACCGGCTGTGTTCTTAGATAAATAAGGTATCCAATTCATAGTATCAAATTGTAAATTTCAAGAGAAGTAATTCATAAAATTCAACAAACAAACAAAGCAGAAGGCCCAGTGGATCAGATCATTCTATAGTCAGTTCATGCATAAGGTCTGCCCAAATTTAAAGGAACTGTTAGTGTATAACAATGTAGGTGGCTTGCATAAGTGAGCCATGCTGCATTATACAGAAAGGCCAAAGCAAGCATGGGGCAACAGCCGACAGAAACTTACCGGTGCCACTCCAAAAGAGTCGTAGTGAGCGACTACTACAATAGTAGGCAAGTCCTCTCCTCCCAGACCAGTCAGCCGACCCTGGCAAGGGGAGCAGGGGAGGAATCATTACATCAAGGCCATTTCTGCCGCTGTGTCAATGCAAGACACCACACATCACCTCTGCCTCCTCATGAAATCTAGGGAATTGCAGAGTTGGAAGGTATCCTGAGGGTCATCTAGTCCAACCCCCTGCAATTTTAGGAATCTCAGCTAAAACATCCTTGACAGGTGGCCATCCAACCTTTGCTTAAAAACCTCCAATGAAGTCCGTCACCTTCCAAGGGAGTCCGTTCCATTGTCAGACAGCTCTTACAGTATTATTGCTATTGTAAATCACTTTCTAAACACCTTCAGAATCTCTGCTGTAAATCATTTCTGAACACTTTCAAAATCCCTACACCGACTTCTCGTCTGCTCCCTTATCCAGCGTAGGCTCCTTGGTTTGGTTTTGGGTTCCTTCCCAGCCCTTGTTACTGATGCCTGTTGCTCATGACCTTTACTCCTGGAGCTCCACAAGCCTCGACCGTCCAAAGGTCTCCAGCTCCACCCAAAGACTCACGCATCACCTCTTAAACGCTGAACTGCCTCCCTCCTCCTTTCAAATCTCTTCTCACACCTTTTCTGCAAAGTCTTTGGCACCGCTGCCCATACCGCCTTGTGCCCTGTCGCAACCTGCCAGCCTGTAACCAGGCCCATGCAGATGTATTGATTTTCTTAATAATTCGGAAGAGTTTTTCGGGGGGGGGAGCCTCATAATAATATCATGCCAGTGTACAATAAAATACGCAAGACAAACGGCAAACAATGAATCTTATTTCATTCTTATCTCTAAGAATGCTTGGCAGAAACAAACACACACATGCAAGGATTGGATATTCTTTCTCTGCCTTATTTACTGCATCCACTTCCCTTGCACTTCCTTGTCACCCCTATGTCAAAATTTAGACTGTAAACTCCTCCAGAAAAAGACTTTTCCTCCAGAAAGAGGCCTGTCTGCTTCTAATCGGCAGAAGCATGATGCACACTAATAATTTTAGTAAAATGAATTTTTTAAAAGCAGGGTTAAGAGTCAGGCTTGTGAAAAGTAGTTAAGGCTAGACTCTGGGAACCTGTACTCTTGGCTTGGTAGCCCAAAACAAGTGCCTCCTTGGCCCTAGCAAATATGCCCCATCCCTTCCTGAGTTTGCAAAGTTACATTTGTGCCCATTTTATTTTATTTAACAAAAAGCACGCACCATTTTCACTGTGGTGTTTTGTTTTGTTTTTAAAAAAACAACCTCTAAGCAGCTTACAATAAATATTAAAGATTATCAGTTTTAAAAAGGAACCTTTTGCTTGTTTCTAGGCAGAACAGAAGCCTGCTTGTTAGCTAGAAACTTCAGTTTGTATCACACAGGGAAGCTTCCAGATCCCTCTTGAATCAATTAGTATAGACAAGATCTCTACACTTTAGATCAATCACCTTCTGCACCAAGAAATGCAAACTGACAGTAACACCTTGAAGTTGGCCTGGCAGGAATATGGCAACCAGTGCAGATTTAGTTTTGGTTGGCTTGCTTGCTGGTTTATTAAATTTGTACACTGACCTTCAACGAAAGATCACAGGGCGGTTCAGCCCTCTGAGCAGAAGTGTTACAAGCTGATAGGGTCTCTCACTCTTGTCAGCAACTGCGCTGCAGCTCTTTGCCCTAACTACAGTTTCTGGGTCAAGCGCAAAAGAAGCCCTGCACAGTGCATTATGGTAATCCAACCTTGAAAAGTCAGTATGCCAGGAAGTGCTCCCAAACTCACCTCCACACTGGTGATGAGCCAGTCACTGACTGCTTTGCTCTGAGCCCCACTGGTCACCATCTGGAAGCCGTTGGCAGTTGCTGTGTGTAAAAGTACTAGGAAGAAAACAGGTGCGTAAAGATAAGAGTACACAGCTACACTTTACCTTCATTCACAACAGCATCAGAAACCTTGCAAATTGCTCCCCGTATAGAAGACACACATGGATGTGAGCCGGCACGCTTTATATATTCTGGACAGTCTTTTCTATCCACGGTCAAGGTTTGCCTCTTTATATTTAACATAAATATTCAAAATATAACAGGAATTGGGTTCATGTATACATTTCTGATCACAATTCAAAGTGTTAGTGCTGACCTTTAAAGCCCTAAGCAGACTCTGCCCTGTAGACCTGAAGGAGCGTCTCCTCCCCCATCGTCCAGCCCAGACACTGAGGTCCAGCTCCGAAGGCCTTCTGGCAGTTCCCTTACTGTGAGGTTACAGGGAACCAGGTAGAGGGTCTTCTCGGTAGTCGCGCCTGCCCTGTGGAACGCCCTCCCACCAGATGTCAAGGAAATAAACAACTATCTGACTTTTAGAAGACATCTGAAGGCAGCCCTGTTTGGGGAAGTTTGATTGTGTTTTTCATATTCTGTTGGGAGCCGCCCAGAGTGTCTGGGGAAACGCAGCCAGATGGGCGGGGTATAAATAATAAAGTTATTATTAATAATTCTTATGAATTTCAATGGGTCTGCTCTGAGTAAACCTTAGCTGGAAACAACCCATTGCCTCAGGCTTCTTCATAATGTAACCATGTAGTCATATGCCTGTCTACTAAAAAACAAATCCCACTGAGTCCATGGTGTTTAATCCCAGATAAGGGGGTATAGTATTCTAGAGCTGGATCTTTCCCAACACCTGCCAAGCTGTTTTTTATGATCCCTCTCTTATACCAGTAGCAAAGCCTGTTGGATCTATTTGGAGTTGCTGTTCCAAATACGAGGCGCCACCTCTGAAAAGGCCCTTGGAAGATGGTCTTAAAGGGAGGCGACCCCTGAAGCTGATCCCAGTTATTTTCTTTGAAAGAGGCCTACCTTCAGCAGCTGAAGCCGAGCCTTGCGACGCAGAAGCCGCCTGCGTTTGCTCGTAGATTGAGAGGAGATCGTCATCTTCCTCAGCAAAGTAGACCGGCACAATGGTTTCCATCGCCAGCATTTCTGGCTCAATCTCCATGAATTGCTGAAGAGGAGCAGATAAAAGACTCAGTGACTTGCAGAGGAGGACTCCGCTCACCCTCCGGACCTGACTTGGGAGGAGGCACACAAAGAAGGTCCTCAAAGGATGATCTCGGGGTCCAGACAGAAGCCATAATATCGGCTTGATTACAGGTGGCATAAGGATTTCTGGAATTAAGCAGGGGAGGCAGTCTCAGCACGCTGAAGAACAACTATGAATGTAAGGCAGGGGCCTCAAAGGGATGCTTACCCGGATGACATCCTGAGGCACCGAATACATGTTCTGTGGCAGGATGATCACCACGGCACCGGCCGACTGGCGAAGCGCCTTCTGGTACTGTTCGTAGGAGAAGTCCATCAGCCGCATCATCACGCAGCGGCGGCTCAAGACATCCGCCTCAACTGTGCGGGCCTCTGTATTTAGCACGGCATTCCGAGTGCCTGTCAAAAGCAGAGAAAGGGGCTTAGTATGTAGCCATGGAGGTACTTTAGATCCACAGATAGGAGGCCTCCCCATGTCCTAAAAAGAGAATGTGAATGCTTAATTGCCTGTTTCCTCCTCCCTCCTAATCTGTTCCTTTTCTCTCATTGTCTTTTTTGGAATTTTAAGTTTGTGGACAGAGACCGTGCCTTTTTAGGGGGTGGAGTGATTACTAAGCTGCTCTGGGAGTCTTCACTGGCTGGAGAATGGGATGTATTTATTATTTAAAAATGGTCTTTAAATAAATCAATAACAACAGCTCCCCAACCCTTTAAGGTCAATTCTCAGGTTGTGTAGTACTTGACTATGAAGGGCTGGTGCCATCAGGAATGTTCAGTGATCAGTTCTGAAGATGCTTTGCCAACGTCGGCAGGTGTAGATCTTGCCAAGAGAGCAGAGTTGAAATAGCTTAGTAGAAACCACGCAGTGGGAATGCCACATGCCTTTGTTGCTGGGGCTCACGCCATGAACTGTCAACTCCCAAACTCACTGTGATTCGGAAAGGAAGTGAGCCGCGACAGCATGTGAGCCACAACTCTAGTGTAGAGCTACAATTTAATGCACAGCTTCTCCACCCACTGTGACTGGGCTGCATTTTGATGTCAAAGCAATTTTATCTGTACGATTTTTTTCTAAACTACTTTAATAACTGCACTGCCTTTCTTTATTGCAATTTGCGTACTTGCTTACAGTGGTACCTTGCAAGACGAATGCCTCGCAAGACAAAAAACTCGCTAGACGAAAGGGTTTTTTGTTTTTTTAGCTGCTTCGCAAGACGATTTTCCCTATGGGCTTGCTTTGCAAGACGGAAACGTCTTGCAAGTTTGTTTCCTTTTTCTTAACACCGTTAATACAGTTGCGACTTGACTTCGAGGAGCAACTCATAGAACGCGGTGTGGTAGCCTTTTTTGAGGTTTTTAAAGACTTTGGTGATTTTTGAAGCTTTTCCAAAACTTTCCCGACACCGTGCTTCGCAAGACGAAAAAAATCGCAAGACGACAAAACTCGCGGAACGAATTAATTTCGTCTTGCGAGGCACCACTGTATTTTAATGTTTCGCTTTTGGGTCTGTTACACCAAATCACACAGGGTGGTAAAAACAAAAAGTTATAGTAGCAGCAGCAGCAGCAGCAGTTTCAAAAAGTTCTCTCCAAACCACGCAGAAAGGCAGTAAAATGGCAAATGCAATTCAATGTAAGCAAGTGTAAAATGATGCACATCGGGGCAAAAATTCCTAACTTCACATATACGCTAACAGGGTCTGACCTGGTGGTGACTGACCAGGAAAGACATCTTGGGGCCATGGTGGATAGCTCGATGAAAATGTCGACCCAGTGTGCGGCAGCTGTGAAAAAGGTGAATTCCATGTTAGGGATCATTAGGAAAGGGACTGGAAATACAATGACTACTACGATAATGCCATTGTACAAAATCTACAGTGAGACCACACTTGCGATACTGCTGTACAGTTCTGGTTGCCTCACCTTGGAAAGGTTACTACAGAGCTGGAAAAGAACCAAAATGATCAAGGGACTGGAGGAACTCTCCCAGGAGGAAAGGTTACAACATCTGGGACTCATTAGCTTAGAAAAAAGGCAGCTAAGTGGGCGGAGAACATGATAAGAGGTTATGCATTGTGTGGAGGAAGTAGATTCTGAATAGGATAACTTGGGGACATGCAATGAAGCTGAAGCATGGAAGGTTTAGGACCGACAAAAGGAAATCCTTTGTCACACAGGGCATAAACTGTGGCTACCAACCTTACTGTATGCTTGTGAAACATGGACCACTTATAAACGACATCTCCAACTCCTTGAAACATTTCATCAATGGTAAAATTCCATTCAATTTTACAGATCACTTGGGAAGACAGGCGAAATAACGCCAGTGTACCAGAAGAAGCAAAGATCAACAGTGTGGAAGCATTGATTCTTCAACATCAAGTTTGTTGGACTGGTTATGTTGTCCAGATGCCTCATTACCGTCTTCCAAAGCGACTACTCTATTCCAAACTTAAAAATGGAAAGCGTAATGCTGGTGGTCAACAAAAGAGGTTTAAAGACTCTATACTACATTTTTTTAGATTTGCATTGAGAAACACCGACAACTGGGAAACACTGGCCTGCAAGTGCTCCAACTGGAGAGCAGCCTTTACCAAAGGTGTCATGGGCTCTGAAGACTCTCAAACTCAGGACGAAAGGAAGAAACGTGCTAAGAGGAAGGCACATTTGGCAAACCCTCACCATGACCAACTCCCAACCAGAAACCTATGTCCCCACTGTAGAAGGATGTGTGGATCCAGAATTGGCCTCCACAGTCACTTACGGATTCACCGTTAAGACCATGCTTATGAAAGACAATCTTACTCGGCTATGAGGTATTGCCAAAGAAGAAGAAACAACTATGGAATTCACAAACCACAATGGCTACCAACTTTGATGGCTTTAAAAAGGAGATCATAAAATTCATGCAAGATAAATCTATCAATAGTTACTTGATGGCTATATATTACTTTCAGAATTAAGAGGCAGCATATGCCTTTGAAAGCTAGTTGCTAGGTTTCACAAGCAGTTAAGCGCCTGACTGACATCTGACTGACGAAGGGCAGAAGAGAATGCTTGACTAGATGGGTCTCTGGCCTGATTCAGCAGAACTCTTTTTGTTTGGGGGTGGCGGGGGGGGAGCAAATAGGTATCCACCTTTCACCTGTAGGGAGCAAGAATATCCTCTTTAGATTGGAAGAGGAGTGGACGATTCCCTTACAGCTCACCATTTACTTAATCCAGGCTGTGCAGTACAAAAATATGTGTAGGATACTAACTTTGTGAGACATGTTTTCAAGACAAAATATCTAGGTACCACTGAGGGCTCTGCAGCTGTCGCTGAAATCTTCCCTCCAAAATTTCCCCCCGTTTCTAACTCATTTTTGGTGTCTGCTCATTGCCACTCAGCGTACCTGTTTTGAGTAAAAACAAAAAAAATTCCTTCCAGTAGCACCTTAAAGACCAACTAAGTTAGTTCTTGGTATGAGCTTTCGTGTGCATGCACACTTCTTCAGATTCTGTGTATCTGAAGAAGTGTATTCTGTGTATCTGAAGAAGTGTGCATGCACACGAAAGCTCATACCAAGAACTAACTTAGTTGGTCTTTAAGGTGCTACTGGAAGGAATTTTTTTTGTTTTGACTATGGCAGACCAACACGGCTACCTATCTGTAACTGTTTTGAGTAGTTAGGGAACTGTACAGATAGTTCCCTAGTGCCATCACAGTGAACCCTTTTAATCCTATTGTAACTTATTTGCACAGCAGTTTGACGATATAATTGTAAAAAAAAAAAAGACCAACCCAAAAATCCCCAGCTGTCTCCTTGACAATCCTCCCCTAGAAACAGGAAGGGGGGGGTGTCAGCCAGTGATAAAACACATGCTTTTTCATGCATAAGGTCCCAGGTTGAATCCTGACACCTCCCATTAAAAGGGACACACCTCTGTCCAGAGCCCTGTTCTAAGCTATAGGTCAGATACCACTGAGATAAATAGACAGGTAAAGGTAAAGGTACCCCTGCCCGTACGGGCCAATCGTGACCGACTCTGGGGTTGCGTGCTCATCTCGCTTAAGAGGCCGGGAGCCAGCGCTGTCCGGAGACACTTCCGGGTCACGTGGCCAGCGTGACGAAGCTGCTCTGGCGAGCCAGCACCAGAGCAGCGCACGGAAACGCTGTTTACCTTCCCGCTGGAGTGGTACCTATTTATCTACTTGCACTTAAGGGTGCTTTCGAACTGCTAGGTGGGCAGGAGCTGGGACCGAACGACGGGAGCTCACCCCGCCACGGGGATTCGAACCGCCGACCATGCGATCAGCAAGTCCTAGGCGCTGAGGTTTTACCCACAGCGCCACCCGCGTCCCTTGAAACGGACAGGTAGGAGAACTGAATATGAAGCAGCTTCGCACACCCATGCATGTTAAAACCCTGCTGTCATCGTCCCTCTCCAAAGGCTCTCCCTCCCTTGCAGATCCTCACAGAGCTGCTGCATGAAACCAGGCACTTGCTTCCAAGACCGGTGGTCTTGGCTAAATAAAGCAACCAAGATGGCTAGGAACCTGTCTTGATTTACAGCAGTCCCAGTAAGGAGTCAGTCACGCACTGTGAGAAGTGAGTGACTGGAGAGGGGAAATAACACATGAGCCTGGAGGCTACAACTGCTGCGTGGAAATACGTTTTGACTAGAGCAGCTGCTTAGCCTGTAAAAGTGGGCGCAAAAATACCAATTGCTGCCTTTTACAGGGCAAGTGTGTCTTTAATTGTGAGGAGTTCAAAGAGTGGCAAGTTAAAAGTATAGCATCTAGATCAAGGGAAGTAATAGTGCCACTGTATTCTGCTCTGGTCAGACCTCACCTGGAGTACTGTGTCCAGTTCTGGGCACCACAGTTCAAGAAGGACACTGACAAACTGGAACGTGTCCAGAGGAGGGCAACCAAAATGGTCAAAGGCCTGGAAACGATGCCTTATGAGGAACGGCTAAGGGAGCTGGGCATGTTTAGCCTGGAGAAGAGGAGGTTAAGGGGTGATATGATAGCCCTTATATAAAAATATATAAAAGGATGTCATATAGAGGAGGGAGAAAGGTTGTTTTCTGCTGCTCCAGAGAAGCGGACACGGAGCAATGGATCCAAACTACAAGAAAGAAGATTCCACCTCAACATTAGGAAGAACTTCCTGACAGTAAGAGCTGTTCGACAGTGGAATTTGCTGCCAAGGAGTGTGGTGGAGTCTCCTTCTTTGGAGGTCTTTAAGTAGAGGCTTGACAACCATATGTCAGGAGTGCTCTGATGGTGTTTCCTGCTTGGCAGGGGGTTGGACTCGATGGCCCTTGTGGTCTATTCCAACTCTATGATTCTATGAAAAGGACAGCTGATCTTACTCTGCTCCCATACCAAGCAATATATATTACTATTAATTATTATTATAGCTCTCACGCACATAGTGAGCTCACCTACCTGTACACAGCCCTGTGAAGTGGAAGTGCGGCAGAGACGATTCCATAAAATCTTAGCACTACAATTCCAATCAGCTCCAACCAGCATGAACAAAGAATCTGGGATGATGTGAGTCGCAGCTCAACAACATCTAAAGGCCACACTTGTGTGTTCCCTGCACCGCCCAATTAGCTGAGCAGACTGCTGCTTTCCTATATTTAAAGGTATTTCTTGCTTTCATGCTTACAAAATAAAAAAAAGCAGGCATGCTTAGAAAAGGCATGTCGTCTTGTCTGCCTCTCACACACAGGACAGAATGCCTGTTTGAAGACAGCACCTGCTACAACATATGCATGTGTCACCCAAGAGCAAGGAAAAATACTTGCCCTTCCTTCAGAAGGATTTCTTCACACCCAAATTTTCAACACAGCCCTAAGCTTGATTGCACAGAAGCAAGCCCACTTAGTTCAATGAGGCCTTACTCTTTCGCAAGAGTGGTTTTGGATTGCAGCCTTAGTCAATTAATCATTTAGAACTCAGGTGACTAATCATCTAAGGCTGAAATCCTGTTCTTGCTTATCTCTGTGCCAGTTACATTCAACAGAGCAGGCTTTACTTCTGAATGGAATTGCACAGAATTGGGGTGCAGCTTTTTTTAAACTGCAAGTTTCAGCTACGGGTTTTTCTTGAACTTCCCTAATGCAGAGTGGTACAATTTAGCATTACATGCATGCATGCATACATACATAAATCTCTATATTTACATATGGGAGACTTTACAGGATTAGTATTATATTCTTTCTTACAAAGCTTGCAAAAATAAATGCTATATTCTTATAAAAGGTAAAGGTAAAGGTACCCCTGCCCGTGTGGCCAGTCTTGCCAGACTCTAGGGTTGTGCGCTCATCTCACTCCACAGGCTGGGAGCCAGCGCTGTCCGCAGACACTTCCGGGTCACGTGACCAGCGTGACAAAGCTGCATCTGGCGAGCCAGCGCAGCACACGGAACGCCGTTTACCTTCCCGCTCGCAAGCGGTCCCTATTTATCTACTTGCACCTGAAGGTGCTTTTGAACTGCTAGGTTGGCAGGCGCTGGGACCGAGCAACAGGAGCGCACCCTGCCGCGGGGATTCGAACCGCCGACCTTTCGATCGGCAAGTCCTAGGTGCTGAGGCTTTAACCCACAGCGCCACCTGCGTCCCGCTATATTCTTATACCACCTTGCATATCCAGGCAGGGCTGAGAATGACTCTGGCCTGCAATGCTAGACAGCTCTTGTATAAGGCCAATTCCTGTTCCTAATAAATTTCAGTCTTATAAATATTAATTACATCTTTCGACTCGCTACACAGCACAGAGAATTTGGGTGGTGACTTGAGAGGACTGCAACCAGAATGTAGCCATAGAAAAACAAGAGGCAGGTGTTTGCATGCTGTGGAGAACAAGTTTTGCCGAAACACAAAAGGTCTTTAGAAGAAGGAAAACTAAGGGAGGCACCCAGGGACAGATCAACTGGTAAAGTATGAGACTCTTAATCTCAGGGTTGTGTGTTCAAGCCCCATGTTGGGCAAAGATGCCTGGATTACAGGGGGTTGGACTAGTCCAACTCTACATTAGTGGAGGTAATTTTAATCTGTTTTGGTATTATAACTGTTTGCGTGTTTTGAAAGTATGATTGCAATTTCTTCTTAATTTTATTCTTTTACCCTTTTTGTAAACTGCTTTGAGGGTTGGTTGGGGTTTTTTTACAATCAAGAGGTGCACGAATTTTACAAAACAAAAATAAATGACTTGTCAGTTGGAAGAGGAAAAAAAGAGGGCTGGTGGCAGAGTTCTGCTGCAGGAGAGTACGGCTGGCTAGGAACCTTTAAGCAGGAGAACTCCCTTATCAGGAAATCAGAACACACTGCACGGTTTCATCACTGTATATTGCTACACACATACTGTTTAAACTGATCCACCTACATTATTTAAATACAATATGCAAATGTAGGAAATTGTCTTATACTAAGTCAGACTGCCTGCACTGCCCCTCCCTGGTCATTCTACCGCTAAGCCATGGTTTAGTTTCAGCTTAGCGTATCATCTGAACAGTGCTTTGTCAGATAGCTCTTACCCGACAAACCACAGGCTGTGAGCCATAGAAGCAGCAATCGGTGCAGAATGCACGGTTGCTGACAGGAGCGAGGCCTTGCCAGCATTGTAACACTTGCACTCAGAGATCGGCACTCATTGCCAATTTGCTACCAGGCCGAGTTCAAGGTGTTACGATTAACATATAAAGCCCTTAGCAGCTAAGGACCAGTTTACCTACAAGATTGTCTTACCCTGCGTACCCACATGACTGATTCCATCAATGGAGTTGGATCCGCTACAGCTGCCACATAACGCACATTCCACACTTGTAAGAATGAGATCGTTTACTGCGGCAGCACCTACACTTTGGAACTCCCTGCCGATTGAGAACAAACAGGTGCCTTCCCTGTACTCATCGCAGCCCTGCTAAAAAACATTCCTGCTTAGACAAGCCTACCCACATGCTTAGACAGTTGAGATAATTTTAATCTGCTTTAGCATTTTGACTTTTGTATGTTTTGAAGTACAACTGTGATCCTCCTCTTGATTTTATTGTTTTATCTTTTTGCAAACCGCTGAGAGATAAAAATTTTTACCATCAAGCAGTGTATACATTTCATGCTCCTCCACAGAAACAGTGCAGACACTAAATACCACAATCTCCTATTTTTACATTAACATACTTAATCTAAAACTATGTATGCATAAAGTTTTTTAAAAAGTTAAAATTTATTATAATCCTTTATTAAATTTGTATCCCACCCTTTCTTCAAAGATCCCAGGGCAGCTCAAAACGGAAAAATTGTATTTTAATTATTGCTCTCCCCCGCCCCATGGTTTTGAGTAGCTCTTGTTTCTACCTTTCAAGTCCCTGTCGGCAGAAAAGGTGGGGGATAAATAATAATATGTTGGACCATGGTTCCCACTAATAATAAAATAATAAATAATATATTGGGGCAGTGGTTCCCACTGGGATAACCCACCCAAGGGGGCCTGTGGCACATAGCAAAACTACCAGAGAGACATCTGGCGGTTCCCTCATTGCGAGAAGTGAACCAAGGCAGAGCGCCTTCTCGGTGGTGGCGCCCGCCCTGTGGAATGCGCCCTTCAGATGTGAAGGAAATAAGCAGCTATCCTATCTTTGAAAGACATCTGAAGGCAGCCCTGTTTAGGGAAGTTTTTAATATTTAATATTTAACGCTGTACTGTTTTTACCACTTGATTGGGAACAGCCCAGAGTGGCTGGGGAAACTCAGCCAGATGGGTGGGGTATAAATAATAAATTATTATTATTATTATTATTATTATTATTATTTATTATTATTATTATCAAAATGTTCAAAAGTAGTGGGAGCCCATGGTTTGGCTTTATGAAAAACAGGGGGGGAATCTTAGCTAATGAGGAACCACTGACGTTAAGGGAGCTGTCAGCACGTGGATTCCCCCCCCAAAGGATCCTGGGAACTGTAGTTCCGTGAGTGTGAGGCGAAAACTACAGTTCCCTATAAACTCTGTACCTGTGCAGCATGGATATTTTAGGGGGGTGTCGGGTGTTATTTAAGCGCCTCATGAGAGGCGGAGGGGTGGGGTGGGGAGAGCGTCGTCGTCTCCCGGGCCTTCCCTGTCAGCGCCGCCGCCACCCGAACCCCGCCCGACCCCCTCTGGCTCACTGACCGTAGGGCTGCCCCCCGAGCTCGTACTGCTGCATGCGGTAGACGGTGAACTCGTGGGCGGCCGAGGCCGGAGGCGGGCCCAGCAGCAGCAGCAGGACGGCCGGCACCACCAGCAGGAAGCTGAGCGGCAGGCACGAGGCCTTCAGCAGCACCGAGCCCAGCACCTCCTCGCCGGCCTCCTCCAGCATGACGGCGAGCGGCGGCGGCGGCGAGAGCGACCGTGAGGCGAGAAGGAAGGAGAAGAAGGAGAAGGAGGCGCTTCTTCGCCTCAGCACATCGCCTCAGAAACAGCGCGCGCGCGAGGCACGCTGGGAAATGGAGTCCGCCGCCGCAAGGAGCGCCGGGAAATAGGAGTTAAGGCGCCTGGTAGTCGACTCGGCTGTCCTAGGCCGGAACCGCAAGGCACGCTGGGAAATGGAGGCCGCCGCTGCAAGGAGCGCCGGGAAATAGGAGTTAAGGCGCCGGGGCTCCCTGCGTTCCCTCATGGGGTTAATTCAGGCCAGGACCGCTGGGAAATGAGTTCAAAGAAGCGAGGGCCTGCCTCCTTCCCTGACAGTCGACTCGGCTTTTCATAGGCTAGAGCCGCAAGGCACGCTGGGAAATGAAGGCGGCCGCCGCCTCCTCACAGTTATCTCGGCTGTCCTAAGGCCGGAACCGCAAGGCACGCTGGGAAACGGAGTCAAGGCTCCCTGTGGGTGAACTAAGCTCTTTCGCCCAAACCGCAAGGCATGCTGGGAAACGGTGGGCTTCTTATCCCAACCGACCGCGCGCGCAAGGCACGCCGGGAAATGGCCACCGGGATCGTCCCTCAGTGATCTCCCGATCTGTGTTGTTTTATCTGTGCGTTTCCATGGTGCTTTTCCCTCAGACGGCAAGTCAGAGGCCTCCTTCCTCGGCTCTTTCGGTCACAAATAACGGAGAGGGCGAGAGGGTGACGCGCAAGGCACGCCGGGAAGTGGAGTTCCCTATGCGAACTTCCTCAGCGGGGGTTCTCTAGCGCATGGCATGCTGGGGCTTGAAGTACCCAGCCCCCCCAACGACCGACAGGGGAGGGCGCAGCAAGGCACGCTGGGGAAATGAGAGCGCGGCTTCGCTCTTACCATGCTGATTTATGGAACTCCTCAGAGCGCATGCGCGGAGCTGAAGGCACCTAGGGCAATGGAGTATTCCTTTAGAGGGCACACGTGTGTAGGGCATTCTGCATCTTGGTGGCATAGAAGTAACTGGTGTCTTTTATAAAAGATATATTTAAAATGCAGCTTAGGTCTGTTACGGAAAAATCCCGGGTACGGAGTTGCCCTGACACCCGGTTCGTCGGACAGAGTCCACGGGTCCTAGCGGAGAAAATAAGCTCAGCCGGAAACAGGAGCAAGATGCGGAGATCCGAGTTTATTGCGCAACAGGTTCAAGACGAGATTGAACCCCGAGAATGGGGCGACATAAACCTTTAAAAGTTCCCTCCGACTCCCAGAATACAGTGCACGAAACGTCATGAATATATTATGGGAAGGTTGGGTTTCACGGGTTACATCATGAATATATTTCACACGTCATGAATATATCTAGGAAAGGTGGGGTTACATTAATTAACATTTGAGATAAGGGAGGGGGGAATATGCAGAGTGAGAGATATACATAGGTAAACATTTATGAAGTACCGGTGGTGGCAAGACAATGGGCCAGAGATATGCATCGTCTGCCACCTAATATTGCCCGGAGGAAGAGTTAGGCGAAGCGATCTGACAGGATTAAGAAGTTCCTATGTACGTGTCCTGTCGCTCCGGGGATTATGGAGGTAGGGGTCACATCATGGAGTCCAAAGGGAGCTGAGTTGAATGACACCAAGAGCAAAGAAATCGGAGTTACGGTTGATTTTATATCAATTTCCAAAGGTTTCTATGCTTTCCGACCCATTCTGTACCGTTGGCCAAGATCGGAAACAGAACGGATATATTGTAGCAAGAATGGATACATTGTAACAGGATTTTGACAGTTTTACGAGGTCTCTGGTTTCGGATCCATTGTTCTCGCAGTGGGGGGCCGTCAGCAGCTTGTCAGGAGTGAAATGAGGCGTGCAGTAGCTCCCTGAGCTAGCTTCTGCAGGGCGAATGCATGGCTGTGATTGGCTAAAGCGGAGCTCAGTATAGTGAATGGGGATACAGTATGATACGGTCTACTCACATTAGGAATAGGGCGAGAGGAAGGCATAAGAAAAGATCGGGGCTTATTTCGCCCGTATAGAGATAGGAAAGAGAGCCTTTTATTAGCAAGGCAGGGGTATAGTGTGGTGCTTGTGTAACGATGTGGGGGCTGAGGGTTCTATGCTTGTGTAACGATGTGGGGGCTGAGGGTTGTAGGCAGAGCTGGGCACTGTCGAGGTCATCGCCTCGGGCCCCTTCAGGAAGCGATGGAGGGGAGGATGGTTGCCCCCCCCCCTTTCCTCCTTCCGTATCAGGTCCCTCTCTGTTTTATAAATGTTGCATTTAATTTATTGTAGATTAATTCATACAACATATAAAATGTATAAATGTTGTTGTTTAGGGGAAAACTAGTGGAGTGCTGGGGATGTATAAGCGATAATGAAATAACGTTAGTGGCATTTAAAGAAGCTCTGTAAAAACTCAAGACATATTGTAAGAAAGAAAAACAGGGGTGGAAGGGTAGGTTAAAAGGCAATAGAAAATTTAGGAAATGTGTAATTAAATGTTCAATTCGGATGATTGTAAGAAAGGCTGATGGAAGTCCAAAAATGGAAAAATGTATTAAGTTGTAATGTATATCTATTTTTCTTGATGAAAATTAATAAAAATATTATATATAAAAAAATGTTGTTGTTTAGTCGCTTAGTCGTGTCCGCCTCTTTGTGACCCCTGGACCAGAGCACGCCACGCTCTCCTGTCTTCCACTGCCTCCCGCAGTTTGGTCAAACTCATGCTGGTAGCTTCGAGAACACTGTCCAACCATCTTGTCCTCTGCCGTCCCCTTCTCCTTGTGCCCTCAATCTTTCCCAACATCAGGGTCTTTTTCCAGGGAGTCTTCTCTTCTCATGAGGTGGCCAAAGTACTGGAGCCTCAGCTTCAGGATCTGTCCTTCCAGTGAGCACTCCGGGCTGATTTCCTTCAGAATGGAGAGGTTTGATCTTCTTGCAGTCCATGGGACTCTCAAGAGTCTCCTCCATAATTCAAAAGCATCCATTCTTTGGCGATCAGCCTTCTTTATGGTCCAGCTCTCACTTCCATACATCACAACTGGGAAAACCATGGCTTTAACTATACGGACCTTTGTTATTTACTTACATCTGTAGAATAGCTTGGGACACGGGTGGCGTTGTGGGTTAAACCACAGAGCCTAGGACTTGCCGATCAGAAGGTCGGCGGTTCGAATCCCCGCGACAGGGTGAGCTCCGGTTGCTCGGTCCCTGCTCCTGCCAACCTAGCCATTCGAAAGCACGTCAAAGTGCAAGTAGATAAATAGGTACCACTCCGGAGGGAAGGTAAATGGCATTTCCGTGCGCTGCTCTGGTTTGCCAGAAGCGGCTTAGTCCTGCTGGCCACATGACCCGGAAGCTGTATGCCAGCTCCCTCGGCCAGTAAAGCGAGATGAGCGCCGCAACCCCAGAGTCGGTCACGACTGGACCTAACGGTCAGGGGTCCCTTTACCTTTACTTTATAGAATAGCTTTATTTTTGTTTTTAAGGCAAAATGCAGGTCCCCTGAAATTCACACTGAAATTGTGTTTCTACACCTCATGGGCATGCTTGCTAAGATACAAGTCAGCTGTTAAGTCTTGGAAAGTCCTGATTCTGATCTGTTTAACGGTTAAAGCCATAGCTGTCAACTTTTCCATTTTCTTGCGAGGAATCCTATTCGGAATAAGGGAATTTCCCTTAAAAAGGGGGGAACTTTGACAGCTATGGTTAAAGCCTCAAGGAGAAGGAAAACGGGTGACCAGAACTGTTTAAAGGGTGTTTTAAAGGCAGAAGTCCAGAGTTTCGACCACAAAATGTATCTGAACTGGCCATTTAAGTGTTTTAAGCTGCAAAAAGGAGGAAAACTGACCTCTTTAACTGTTCTAATGTGAAAAAAGAAGGAAACCTGGTGGCAGTAAGGGCTTTCTGCTTCAAAACAAAATCAAATTGGCCACTTGACTGATTTAAACTACAAAGAAGAGAATAACTGGCTACTCAAAAGTAAAGGTAAAGGTACCCCTGCCCGTACGGGCCAGTCGTGTCCGACTCTAGGGTTGCGCGCTCATCTCGCTCAAGAGGCCAGGAGCCGGCGCCATCCGAAGACACTTCCGGGTCACGTGGCCAGCGTGACGAAGCAGCAGCTGGCGAGCCATCACCAGTGCATCACACGGAAACACCAGTATTTTAAAGGAGGTGGGGGTGGGAGAAGAAAACCTGGTGGGTGTCCAGACTTTCAGCCACAAAATTAATAATAATAATAATAATAATAATAATAATAATAATAATAATAATATTTATACCCCGCCCATCTGGCTGGGCTTCCCCAGCCACTCTGGGCGGCTTCCAAAAAAATATTAAAATACTGTAATACATCAAACATTAAAAGCTTCCCTAAACAGGGCTGCCTTCAGATGTCTTCTAAATGTTAGGTAGTTGTTTATCTCTTTGACATCCGGTGGGAGGGCATTCCACAGGGCGGGGGCCACCACCGAGAAGGCCCTCTGCCTGGTTCCCTGCAACTTGGCTTCTCGGAACTGGCCTCGTAAAGCAAAGGTTTTCAATTTTTTTAGTCCATGGCTCCCTTTACCAATTACTTTGGCACCCCTGTGGGGCTCAGGAGCCCAATTATGTCAGCCACTGACTGCAGAGCCAGTAGCCCCTCACCCCTTTTTGAACCCCCCACCCCCTTGTGGAGTGCTCCCTCAACCTCCTCTCCCCCCTCACTTTGGGGTCCTCAAGGCAGCCCCTGGTCTCTGAGCCTAATACACAAGGTCTGGCTATTTCCTGGTTTTAACACTCCAAGCATCGATTAAAGTCTCACACCTATGAGACCCAGGAATTTACAGGTGAAACTCAGAAAATTAGAATATCGTGAGAAAGTTCATTTATTTCAGTAATTCAACTTAAAAGGTGAAACTAATATATGAGATAGACTTGTGGACCAACACCAGCTGATGACATGGCTCCCCAAATCAACACAGACTTCATGATGGACTTCAAGCATTTGGCATTGCGGGCACACGCGCTAA